CGAATCCCGGTCCCGAGAGGAATCCTCGAGGAAAGGAGAAGGCACCGACGTCGAAACCGGCAGGACCACCAAAGTGATCTCTTTGGTCTTCGATTTGACCTTCGACGCAGTCGTGGATGGAGCCTTTTTAGTCGGTCCCGAGGCCGAAGAAGCCGGAACATCGGTAGATGACTTCTTCCCTGCAGGGAGTTTTTTGGATTTCCCTTTTGAAGTCTTCTTAGGCACCTCCTTGGATGTCGAAGGAGGGGAAGAGGAAACTAAAGTCACCTCTGAACGGACGGTGGAGACTGACTGGACAGATTCCATGTCCGACGGTTGGGAAGCAGAGAGGGTCCGATTCCAAAGGAAATACTTGAGACGTTGCTGACGGGATTTTAGGGTGGCTTTGGTGAATTCTTTGCAATGCCTGCAATTCGTAGGCGAATGGGTCTCGCCTAGACAGAAAAGACAGAGGGAATGGTGATCCTGGAAGGGAAGTTTCCCAGAGCAGGCAGAACAGCGGCGAAAAGGTCCTTTCTTCGCTGACATAAGCCAGGCGGTGAGATACAACAGAGAAAATCGGTAATTGAAGAAATCCTGCAGGCGCGTGGCGCCTCAGCAGGAGGTAATAGGCCGCAATTAAGATCAAGCGGTAAGCGAAAGTACTTGCAATCAAACGCCAGAGGCAAAAAAAGGTCAGCCAGTCCAATTTCAGGGCAACGGAGTGACGGTAGACGAGAAAGACAAGCCAGGTCAAGCCGAAAATACTCAAAATAGCGAAAAGAGAGAAAAATCTCAAGAGCTCTATCCGAGAGGTTCCAACTCCGCGGGCGGATAAATGGAACTGGGGATTTTTGGTGGGCTGCACTTGCGCAGTGCAGGGCAACTCAAACTTTGTATCTTTTCCCTCATAGCTCTAGAAAATTCCAAGGGGAACCAGCGCAGGCGCTGTTTAACCCACCAGTGTGGATTCATAGAGAACCACGTTGAAGAACCATATATAATGACACACCATGATTTGTCATGATACACCAGCATACACATATGCTGGTTTATCATGACATGTCATGGTGTCATGGTGTGTCGTTATATAACTCCACATCTCATAACATAACATGTAATGACATCATGGCATGTGATGACATAACTCATGTGCTATGACATAACCTGGCATGTCATAACATGCCATGGCATCGTGTCATGTCATAATCTGGCATGTGGTAGCTTAACATGTCATGATGTGCCATGATATGACTTACAATATCATGACATAGCTTAACATCTTGGCATGTCATTACATAACCCACCGTTTCATGACATGTCATGGTGTGTCATGACATAGCATAACACAACATTCAGAAAGTGACACCACACAAGGGAAAGTTATTGAAACTGACTCCCTTTTTTCACTCAAACACAAAGAAATTGTCAGTGCTGTTTTTCAACTAGTATGAATGGTAGTGAGTGGAAACGGGTAGCCTGTAGACCATCTTGACTGCTGCCATGGGTGTTGTGAACCTTCAGGCTGCCCTGTGCTATGCAAAGCTTGGCGTGCTTTTTCCTGCTGGCAACACTGGCACCATATTGTGCAGAAATATCGGGCCATTTCCTGGCTTTTTGAATCATGGGTACAGAAGCACAATAGCCCATATTTGGAGGGTGTTTTTTTGGGGGGGGGGTAAGAACTAAATCATATAGATGGTTGACACAGATGCAGCATGGCAGAATATAGTGAAAAGAAACATACAGGCACCCTCATGCGCTGGCAAGCCCACCTGAGACCTGCTGGATATGGTCCTCTGAGGCAGGTCACCACACAGATTATCAGTCCCTCCCTTCTACAGTAGAAGGCCTACCAAAACTCCAGCACTTTGATAGGGTTTTATACCCCAGCCTTCGTATGTTGCAATGGCCAGGATAGAACGGCAGACAATTCTCTTAGATTACAGCTGCGAAATAAGTTTTTCAGGGGGAGAGGCACAAACTCTTCCTTTGCCTACGTCATCATGTTGGCAAAGCTGATGACATGACTTCCATGACGTGGTGTATTGATTTATTTGATATATCAGATTTCCAACCCAATATAGTTACAAAAAAAATCCCTTTCTACTCTTTAAAAATGGGAGTGGGGGGTAGGGGCAAACATAGGACAACCTCGGCAATAGCAGCATGGTTACTATATTTTTTACCTAACAAATATGCCAGCTGTATATCAAGAAAGAACTGTGGCATGAAGCTAAAAATTATCATTAATTCAAAGACACTAATGGTATCCTCCACACCTTCCATGTAGCTGACAGGGAAGAAAACCTTAATTCTCCACCACACCCTCTGTTCTCTACTCAAAGGGCAGAGTTGGAATTTAGATCTCTACGGAGGTGTCCTCTCTCTCTCTCTCTCTCTCTCTGTGTGTGTGTGTGTGTGTGTGTGTGTGTGTGAGAGAGAGAGAGAGAGAGAGAGAGAGAGGATAATAAAGGCGGGAGCAATTCCAACTTACAGAATGTAGATTCACCATTAAAAGAAAGTCAACAGCCCATTTGTGCAATACACTTTTATTTTCCTTTTACCTCTGCAGTCAGTCTTTGAGTAATCATTGTGTAAACAATAGAATGGAATGAAATTACACTGAGTTGTATGCAAATGGCTCTAAAACACCTCAAACATTTATGACAAGGCATTATAAATAACTCTTAAATAACACATTTGCCATTTCCCCATATGTTAGAGAGCTGCCATTTAATCTAAGTTTAGCAAGGAAGTGGTTTAACAAGGTAACATCCAAGAAACCCACCTCTCCGAAAATACACTTCAGATAAGAGAATCCTTCTAACATTTACTAGCTCCAAAATATCTATGCCACAGGTTAAGCGTATGACTACTTCAAGTCAGAAGTATTTTTTTAAATGTAACAGATTTCTGTTTCTTTTACCTTTTAAATCATTGCACAAAGCCCTTTCCTATTTGCACTCTACTTGGATGTTCTGCAAATGTTCAAGTAAAGCTCAGATTCTCTTCAAGTCGTCCCCCCCACTCCCAATTATAAAACAACTCCTATCTCTTAAAGATAAGCCAAATCAAAAATGGGCAAAGAAAAGGCATCTTAGCTTAATGGCAACTGTTTATAAAGAGTTTCAGCTTGTAGACACTCTTCCTGCCCCCCAAAATCAGAACTCTAGGCCACATTTATTTGTGTCAAGTCTCTGCTACAGTAAATCTTCTTCCTTCCTCAGACATCCAGACGTGGTAGGTCCAGAAATGAGACAAGTTTGGGATTCACACAGCTTCAGGCACAGTCTTAGAACATTAATATCTGCAAGGCACCTCCTATGCCCTTGACAATCCAATTATGGATTTTTTTTAAAAAAAAGGACATAACCAAAACAACCAAATCTAAATGCCTACGCCAGTTCAAAAAATAGACAAACATTCCAAAGATAAAGCTGAAACTTGTTTTAAACAAACATTTTAAACTGCAAGTAGCATGTAAATCAAGAACCAAGGAGAGGGAGAGGGAATCGATTCCTTACAGCTCGGATGTACAATGCATAAATATGGAGAGGGGAGGGGGAATAAAATTCACAGTTTGTTTTAAAACAGGAATTCAAGTTTGGCTAATCAACCCTAGCGTTTAATTATGTTCCATTTCTACATACAACAGCCAAGGGCCAGTGTTACCCACTAAAAAGTTATTACTGGATTTTGTTTTAAATTAAAGAAGAAATCGCTCCGGTAGAAAAATTCCTTTTGCAACCAGTGGATACAGCCACCTGAGTGCACTTCCGATCCATCTGTTTTTCACGTCAGCGAAATCCGAACTGATCACTAGAGACACATTTAGTAGCTTTTTGGAATGTTAGCAGGAGTAGTGCAGCTGTGGGCTTTTGCTTGTTCCGACTTGGTGATTTGCTATAGAATGAAGCAGAACTCAGTGTGTGGCGCTTGAGATTTTTTCCTTCGCAATGTAAAGCTGGCCTCTTTGCAATCTCACTGGTTTTGCTGGGGGGTGTGTGTCATGTGACTGGCATCAGCTGACACTTAATTGAGCAAACCCAATCAGTTTTACCTCATCAGGGATCTCGGTACCGTCGCAGCCGGACGCCTGAAAAAAAAGTAGAGGTTGAGGGAAAGGAACATTATAAATGCAAAAGCAGTATGAGGAGAAGAGTCATTCTCATGGACAATAATCCCCGATAAAACTAAGAAATTAAATATCCATGTCACTTTCCAACCAGTGCAAAACTACTTCAAGTTAATGTTCTGTCAGACCGCCTTGGGCCTGCAGCTAGAAGGTTCTGCTTGTGGTTTCCCACCTCTTATCAGTCCTATGTCACTTCTCACACCCATGTAGCAGAAGCGTGACAGGGGATTTAAATAAACCGAGGATGCTAATCTGTTCACTGCCAAAGGATGGCATCTGTTTATTTTGTATGCACAAGTAATTTTGCTTGCATGGAGAGAAAATAAAATTGCATTATAATAAACATCTCTACACCCCCCCCTTTCGTTCCCAAAATAACAAAGTGGTTGTGGCAATATTGCTTTTAAAAGCCCACAAAGTGCAATAAAATCAAGTAACAAAACCATAAAACAGGGATAGAGCAAGAAAATATTTCACTAGGGATCCCTAGGGATAAACTGACCCAACTAGTGATCAAGAAAATGCCAAGGCAAACAAGTAAGACTTCAACCAATGGTGGAAGCACCCTGCACTGGATGCTCATCTGATCACAGCAGGACATGAAGGATCTCAGCATGGAGACTGTTTCACCTGGTGGAGAAAGCCCTTGTCTGCACTGCCATCCACTTGACTTTAAAAGTCAATTAAAAATACTGTATGACTGTAATATTCAGGCCTTCCCTCCAGCTAATAAATGATTTTCTTTTTATTTTTCCTTTATTTATTTCTTCTTCTGTATTTGTATTGCATTTGTTATTGTATGTTTTATGTAATATTTTGTGTTATTTTACTGTTTTATGTTATATTGGAAGCCGCCTAGAGTGGTCTTATAGACCAGATGGGCAGGGTACAAATCAAATCAAATCAAATCAAACAAACAAACTGAACTTCACCAAGTCACAGTACAGGATGTGGTTCCACTTACAAAGAATAGGGACCAGGTCAGTGTATAAAGAAGGCAATCCATTAAATAACCTTGTCGTGAATATATATATATGAAAGGGAGGAGAGTGTTCCATACCAAGAACATATAAATACCCAATTTATATGGGTATGAGAGGAGAAGCAAGGCTACCTTTTGGGGAGGGTCAGTGTTAACCTGGTGTTTTCTAAGGGGCTGATTAAAGTAATTACAATATCTTTTTTAAAAAAAGAAATTTTAAAATATCGTGTCCTGACATCCTCAAGCTGCCTCTACCCTGTCTTAGCCAATCTCTTAGTGAATATTACTGTGCCAATTTAGCTGACATTCAATGACTTTATTTCACATTTATTTTATCAAGCAGACAGACCTCGGAATCAATATTGTCAATTAAACCAAAAGCTGGACACACACACACACATTCCACCTCCAGGTAAGGCATGTGGAGAAAAAAAAGCCTTGATTGTTCCAACACCTTAAAAACCAAAAGGGAACTTTATGTAAAGAATGTAAATTGAGCACTTTTGCAATGGACACAAACAATTCCATAAGCGTGGTTTTGTCACTTTTCACAGTTAAAAGATAAGAAGCTGTTTCTATTCGAAAAATATTTTAAGAAACTGCATCAATACACTGTATTAAATAAGCTAAATATTTTGCTATTATGTTGATGAACATAGCAGCAGAGATGTCCTTTAAAACATTTTCTGTCTAAAATTGCAGCGTGGTCTGCTTTTTTCTGTAAAAAGCCTTCTAATGGACATCCTGGGAGGGGCTAAATATTCGATACACAGTATATTCTACCGCTATTTGGTCAGTCCCCAGTGACTCAACGATGATGCACAAGAAAACAATAAGTATCTTCCTATCTGAAGACATTTCTCCCAAACATTTTTTCGTAAGTGGGGCATATATTCCCCCCACCAAGTATTGCTGAAAAGAATTATGAATGACCAAGACATGCTTTCCTTTTCCATCTAGCCCTTGATCAACAATTTACCTCTGCCCGCTCACTCCTTGTCTTCAGAGTCAGATGCAAAATTAATAATAATGCAAAAAAAATTATTTTTGTACCTGCACTCCATTTTATACTCAATGTCTACAGTACACCACTGATCCTAAGAGCAAGCAGGGGTGGGTGGGATATCCTTGGATATGGAGTGCAGAAGACGAGTGGTCTGAAGTATGCATAAAGTAAGCAATACTGTACAAGGCAAACAATCTGCTGAGTTTTAATGACTGCAATCTCCACCATAACCCATCTCCTTGCACCAGGAAATGATCCACTGCTCAAATGATGTTATGTAATTGTGAAGCCAACTGCTCCAATAACTTAGCCCCGTGCTTATTTTGAGTGGACCGCACACAATCCCAAGTGAGTTATTTGTCTGACATGCCAATTACACTCACAGTTTCTTGGCTCTCGCCTACCGCAGAAACGTGCCCCGGCCATCGCTAGCTATGATTGCAATGTGATAGGTTTTGTTAAGATAGTTTTTCCTTTGAACCTTTCTTACAGCTGTTTCTTCCCAGGATACAGACTAAATCTTGGACAACCCCTATATTTTCTTAAAGAGATCTCAGGTCCATTTAAAATTATAGTACAATTGTGGCAAAACATATATGCTTCGGATAGAAAAATCACTTTCTGCTCAACATTTCTCAAATAGGTTCCTATAAAATTTAAACCTGGGGAAATGGAGGCATTTTCACCCACATATTTTTCTCATGGGATCTTATGCTTAAAAAGTGGGGGTGGGGACGTGAGAGCATCCTGTGACTGGTCTAAATTTTCATATTTTTAAAAAGACATTTCTTCCAACCTGCAGTCCAAAATACAGTGGTGCCCTGCTTGACGACAATAATCTGTTCCAAGAAAATCGCTGTTAAGCGAAATCGTCATACCTTATCGTCCAGTGAAGATCGCCCATAGAGAACCAATCAGCTGTTTAAAATCGCTGTCTTCCGAAGCAGGGCTCCGGAAAGCAGCCATTTTACGAAGGGAGGGAAGCAATTTTGCGGAACCAGAAAAATCATCGTTTAATGAACGGTTCGCAAAGCAGGCTCCTAATCAACATAATGCGAAAAAACCCATTGAAACCATCATTTTGCAATTGCAATAGCGATTGCAAAAAACTCATCGTCAAGCGATTTCGTCGTTTACCGGGGTCGTCATCTACTGGGGCACCACTATATACTAAAGTATATGGGTTGCTCCTCAACAATACAGAGGAGGGCAAGGGAAGCCCAAGGCACAGAGCTCTAATGTGGGCAGGACATCACCTCATTCAGGGGGCTTCCTCCTCCTCCTCCTCCTCCTCCTCCACAGGCCTTTATAGCTGCACCTCACATTGTTCAGGTGGGTCCCCCAATCCACCCAAGAGATTTTGGGCAATGTAGAGAACTGCAAGCAGGAGGAGAGGGTGAGCAGTCCTTCTTCTTTGAATATCCTGAAGTTAAATTAGCTTAGGAATCAGGGCAGTTGGTATTCAGTTCTTAAAAACAAAACCCTGGTTTATGAATGTGGGATACTGCGCTTCCTGAATCCACAATTCAAAACACCAAGAAAGGGCTTGACACTGCTGCACAATATCATGCCTGCGTTGGCAGCAGGAAAAAGGATGCCAAGGGCAGGCTGAATGCTGACAGCACCAATGGCAGCAGTCAAGATGGTATACAGCAGTGGTTCTCAAACTGGGATCTCCAGATGTTCTTGGACTGCAACTCCCAGAAATCCTGACCAGCACAGCAAGTGGTGAAAGCTTCCGGGAATTACAGTCCAAGAACAACTGGGGACCCGTTTGAGAACCACTGACCTACAGTATACCTTCTGCTCACACCCATTCACAAATTGACACAATGGAAGGGAAAATCCCAGAAAGTGACTCCTCTTTTTTCATCAGTCATCCAGAGGGTTTTGTGGTGCAGGAGGTTAAACTGCAGTCAAGACTTTGCTCATGACTGGAATTCAATCCTGACAGGCTTCGGTCGCTGGCTCAAGGTTCACTGAGCCTTCCAATGTCTGCAAATTGTATACTCAGCTTACAAGGGCAGGGGGCAATGTATAGCCTGCATCGTGTAATTGCAAACCACCCAGGGACTGAAGAAGTGAGTAGCAAAATATTTCAACCTAATAAGAAAGAAGTCCAGTTCCCATGACTCAACTTCCAGACACCCAGGGAGTGTTTTAAGTCAGTACAGTGGTGCCCCGCATAGCGACGTTAATCCGTTTGAGGATTAACGTCACTATCCGGAATCGTCGCTAAACGGAAAGAAAAACCCCATAGGAACGCATTGAACTCAGTTTAATGTGTTCCTATGGGGGGAAAACTCACAGGGAAAAGTCACAGTTGAGCGAAGATCCTCCATAGCGCCGCCATTTTCGCCGCTTCGGTAAGCGAGGGCAGTGCGCGAAAACGCTGCAGGTGGCCATTTTGTGCGCCCGGTGGCCATTTTGGAACCATCGATCAGCTGTTTTTAAAAAAACTGCAATGCGAAGATCGGTAAGCGAAATGCTTACCGATCATCACAATGCGATTTTCGACCATTTAGATCATCGCAATGCGATCGCAGAAAACGTGTCGCTATGTGAATTCGTCGTTACGCGATCGCAAAAAACGCGTCGCTATGTGAATTCGTCGTTAAACGGTACGCTCGTTATGTGAGGCACCACTGTACATAAGCAGCACACTTTTTCACCCAAGCACAAAGGAATTCTCAGGGCTCATTTTCAAGAAACGTAAATGGTAGTGAGCACAACAGGGTATCCTGTAGATCATTTTACTGTTGTCATTGGTATTGTCAACACTCAGGCTACCCTTTGCTAGGAAAAGACAGAAGCAAGAACAGCTAGGATGTGGCTGTAGTCCCTCTGTGCCAAATATTTTGAAGGGCTGCTTTTGGACTTAATGATATAATGAAACAAAGGTTTGAGTAAGTGCAACACATACAATGGAGAAACATATACACCCTTTAACTTCTCGGGTAAATTAATGTTGCTATGCCTGCTCCACAGAATGCGCCCTTTAACTTCTTGGGTAAATTAATGTTTTTATGCCTGCTCCACAGAATGCAGACTAGAAAGCTACGTTCCAATTTTCACTTTCCTTGGGTTAGGCAACCTGAAGAGGAAAAGCTACATCGGACCAAAAGGTGTACAAACATGTCGTGTGCATGTTTTCCAAAAGATATGTCCCCTCACCTTTTGAAATGATAAAAAAGGGAGAACTGGCAGTTAGCAAAATCCTGTCACTGGAAACCAAGGTCAAAATCACCCATATTGTCTAAAAGACGGGCAATGAAGAAAGACAGAGAAATCAGAATCACCCATATTGTGTAAAAGACGGGCAATGAAGAAAGACAGAGATAAAGATCAACTCATTTGAAATGTGGTGATGGAGGAGAGCCTTACAGATACCACAGCCAGCCAGAAAAGTGGGTGCTCAATCAAGTCCATCCTAAATTCTCACTAGAGCAAAAAGAAGTAAACTGAGGCTATCCTGCACATGAGAAAACAAAACTGACTGATCACAATAGGAAGAGAAAAAGACCTAGCATGAGACCAATTGTCTCAATAAAGCAAGGCACAGCTCTTAATTTGCAAGATCTGAGCAGAACTTACTGGAAAAGACAATATTGCTGGGGATGAGGCAGTAGGAAGAGAGAACAAGCTAATATGAGATACTGTTCACAAGATTTGAGTGGAACTGTTAATCATAGGACATTTTGGAGGTCATTAACTCAAAAGTGATTTGATGGTACATACCATCTTTGGAGTTTCTTTCTTAATTACCAAACAATTGTATAGTGACAAGACAGATGGAATGGTTGAAAATACGATAAGATATAGTATAAGAGCTCTGTTAATATTGAGTAAGATCAACCCTAGCTCAAAATTTGAGTGGAACTGTTAATCATAGGACATTTTGGAGGTCATTAACTCAAAAGTGATTTGATGGTACATACCATCTTTGGAGTTTCTTTCTTAATTACCAAACAATTGTATAGTGACAAGACAGATGGAATGGTTGAAAATACGATAAGATATAGTATAAGAGCTCTGTTAATATTGAGTAAGATCAACCCTAGCTCAAAAGCAAAAAAACAAAAAAACAAAACAAACACTTTGCCAGCACCAATGCTTGTTTGGCCAGGAAGGAGAGCCAGCTAATTGGGTCCTGACTGATAGGATCAAAGGTTTAGATTGCAGTAGACCAGGAGCTGATTTCCCCTTTGAGGATGTGTCAGGAGCCTGGGCTCAGAAATCCTGAGAAGATCTTTAGTGAAAGCAAGTGGAAGCATTCAGGACTGAGATAAACACATTAGTTCTGTGCTTTTGTAATGCAGAAATACTTTGAATATGCCTTGCAAAATTGTATGCTAATTGCCTGGAGATACATGGCAAAATGCCCTCTTTTCTGGAGGATTGTCATTCCTTTATTGTCTTTAAAGCAAGCCTATTTTTTGACTCTTTGAAGAAAACTTTAACTGTGACCTTTCCTTGTCATCTAAAAATCTCCTTTCCCAGCCTATGAAGGCAATACTGCATCTACTTTGGAACACTTCTACTGGCAAGCCTGTTCCATGCATGCTCAGTTTATAACAAAGACTCAATTTCTCACTTTTGAATGGCCTTTTTTGGGGGGGGGGGGTATCAATATATTAGTCCCTGCTGCTTGAATCTTTAAAAAAAAGTGGGTGGAACAACCATGCTTTTTCAAGATAAGCAAGACTGATCTTTTCAATTTATTTGAACTGTTTAAAATCTGGAAGTTTTTAAGATGACTTGTTTCAGTGCCGGTGTGTACGAGAGAGTGGAAGAGGGACTCAGGAATCCTTTGTTCAAACTTCCCCAAATTTGGCACAGAACATGGATACATTGTCTGCTACACATATGACAAATTTGGTCCTGATCCAAAGTCCAGTTACGAAGTTTTAATGTTTGTTCGGGCTGTCCCCATATTTAGAATTGCCATGTAGAATGTTACTTGCTCTGCTGCACAGTCACATTGATTCACTACTGTGGAGCTTTGGAAGTTCATGCCGGTTCGGTCAATGGCTGTACAGTCGATCTACAGTCGATCTACAACACTCTGCCTACTCTGGCTTACCTGCCCCTCTAGGCACTGCCTCTGAGTTGGTGCTCACCGCCCTCTCTGGCAGCTGTGCTCTGGCTTACCTGCCCTTCTAGGCACTGCCTCTGAGTTGGTGCTCACCAGAGGGGTACCCCGAACTGCAAATCAGCTGTGGATCAAACTGGCACAAACTGCTGAACCATCTCTAATATAAGAACTGGCTTTTATAAGCTTGCTATGTCTTGAAGTAACAATGTTTGGGTAAGAGGCAGATGATTCTTTCCATTTAGTGAATTTTAAAAAGGCGATTAAAATTCCTTTTCTGCTTTCCATTTCCAGTTTGTGTAGGGTGTTTAAATACTAAGGTCAATGTCTGGTGCACACCGATGACTAGTAGTGTACAGGAAATTTTTTAAAAAACCTGGGTCCAAAGATCATAAATGTTTTCTGTTTACTTACATCATTTTATTGCCAACATTTCTTTACTTACCAGCTTAAAGGTTAATGTTTTCAAGGCCTTGGGGTCTTCTACTATTTTTTGTAAATTAGCAGCAACTGGGGGAAAACAAAGAATTAAAAAAACAGAACACAAAAAGAGACATCATATGCCATTAATAATTGAGGATTTTAAAAATTGAGGACTAGAATGATACAATTTTTATGACACTTTTGGAAGAAGTGTTGGAACCTCAAATTACATAAATCAAACTGAAGTGGAATCAAGATACGCGAAGCAACTGTGCTGAATTCCAATGTAACATCACAGATGAAAAACATGAAATTTATAGCAATTAGGATAGAACTAGTAATTAGCACACAATGCAGAAGTCCTTCTTCTGTAGACACATGTCAAATATAGGCTACTTGTCCTAGTTTTCTTTGTAAGCAGTGCGAAGAATTATTTTTAGAATGCCAGCCTTCAAAGTGGGATTTGTTTCCATCAAATAAGTTTGAATCTTGCATGTTCTACAGAGTGAGACTCCTAAAGATTACAGCTCATTTCTATTCAGTGCTAACTCAGGAAGCAACGTTTCTTGATTGTGTAAGATCAAGACAACTTGTGAACCACCTAACGGAATGCAGCACACCAGTCAGGTCTGATGCCTTGCCAGCAACATGCCTGGGGCAACAGAAATGGGTGAGGGTGACTAGGGACAAGCTGCCATACCCAGTTGATGGGTTGCAGCCCAACAACAAATACCGAATAACATTTACAAATACAGTGGACCCTCGACTTACAGGACATTTACAAATACAGTGCAGCCTCGACTTACAGGCGGCTTGACTTACAGACTTTTCGAGTTACAGACTTCTCTGGCTGCAAAATTTAGGTTCGACTTGCAGCCAGAGACTCGACCTACAGACCAGAAAAAACCCAAAATGGAACAAAAATGGAACAAAAACGGCCGGTTACGGGATTAATCGGTTTTCAATGCAATGTAGGTTAATGAAGACTCGTCCTACAGACTTTTCGACCTGCAGCCACCATTCCAATACGGATTAATTCCGTAAGTAGAGGGTCCACTGTACTTATTATAACAGTTATGAGGTTGCATGATAAATATTTGCAAATGATACTGTAGAGGCATATTGTAGACCTTGCGACCAGGGTATTTCTGGTCAAATGACAGACATGTGCCACCTCAAAACAGCATTGCTCTTCAGTAACCCTAAGAGTCTTCTGTTTACTTTCCGTGTCATCAGCAATGCTTGTCCCCTGGTTATTATCAACAAACAATCAAACAGAAACCCATTAGCTGACGTTTATTATACACTAAAGGAACTGGTACAGACCATAGACTCCTCCTCCTCCTCAGGACACCCTGGTTCAAATCCTCACTCAGCCAGTGGGTGATGTCATGAAACCCTCTCTGTTCACATTCCCTAAACCAGTGGCTCCCAACCTTGGGGCCCCAGATGTTTTCGGACTAAAAAGTCTCAGGAATCCTGGCCGGCACAGCTAGTGGTGAAGGCTTTTTGTTCCAAGAACATCTGCGGACCCAAAGTTGGAACTACTGTCCTAATCTAACCTCCTGCTTCTAAGGGAAGTTTAATCACTGGGAAAAATGAGAACCAGAGACAGTCAACAGATAACAAGAATCAGCTGGCCCTTCTCTCGTGTGAATTTGACTTCTCTCTCCCTCCTACTTTGCCAGTGGTGGAAAGAGCCAAACTTCTCAACACGCTGGACTGAACTGCTTCTCATCTGTTAAGTGTTAACATGCACTTATCATCTCTAACGGTAAGTGGAAATGGCTTCAGATTCTTCGGCCAGGTGTTTTGAGATCCTTCTTTTTCACATATATGATGCTTTCATATAACTTATGAGTCAGAATATATTTTGAAATGGGATTGAAAATCTCACAAAAAGTCCAACCATCAGCTAGATGAATGAGCTAGAGAGATGGAGGAAGGCACGATGTGGGAATAAATAGGTGAAGAAAATGATGAAAGCCAAATGGCAAGTCCTCAGAAGCTTTACTATATTCTCTTGTGTGTTAAGTACAAATGCACTGCAAATTAGGGAGAGACTGTATGCAGACACTTTGATCTTTCTTTTAGTATAAACAGAAGCAAGCAATGTTTACATATAAAAGCAAACTCTGTCAGAAAATAAGATACCATGGGAACAGTGTTATTTTTATATTCTTAAGGAGGTGCACTCTAAGGCATCTGGCCAACCCAGCCGAAGTACTGCAGACGGCCTTTCTGCACCACGGAACAGGGGTTATAATATGCCATTTTTGTGAACCTTTCATGATTTTTTTGAGAGAAAATTCTACAAAGACTAACAACAATTCCTCTTTACTGAAGTCTCATCAGAAATCTTTGTTGCACAACATTTTAACAATTATTGCTTACCAAGACATAGGTCCTGTTACTCTAATCCACAGCAATCCAGAAAATAAGGCCTTCCGCCTAAATTATAGCTGTCTGGATAGCTCAGTGAGTTGAAGCATTCGATTCTCCCCTCTACCTCACAGGAGAAGAGCCAGTCCATGTGGCCTTGAACCAGCTGCATAGTCCCAGGTTGTTCCAGGCCACACAGACTGGCTCTTTTCCTGTCCCCCGGAACAAGGGAATGGTAAACTACCTCTGAGGACTCTCTTACTTAGAAAACTCTGGAAAGGCTTGCCATAAGTCAGATTCAACTGGACAACACCAAATTATTTATGTTTATTATATAAATTGCAAAAGGCAACACAGGACATTAGAGAATATTCTCCAGTGACATTTGCAATTATTTTCCACAGGAAATTCCCTAAGGTCAACATAAGCGGTACTTTCCTGGTTTCTCCTGATTTAGCTTTATAGATTACAGAAAGAAACCATGCCTTCTCTCACAATGACAGAATGCCGGGCAGTTAACAACAGAAGATAAGCGACTCATCTGAAAATTCTTCCTAAAAAATACTTCGTTACACAGAAAAGATTCTGAAGTTGTTTTTTGAGATGTTCTTTCATTTTTTAAAGTGAAGGCTCATTTACTCAGGTGCAATTAAAGGGAAACACACATCGTTTTGCCCCTTCTTCTCATAAGGGCCCACATAATTCAAGCCATGTCTGATTCAAGCCATGTCATATCAAACACATATAGTGCTCCTATATGCAGTCTTGGTCTACAACACAAGGTGAATTGGAATGCGGTACAGAAAGGGATGGATTCTGATGACAAAAAGAATTTCAACTCAAGACACCAGCAGTTTGCAAATTTGTTTCTGGGCATGCATGTCATTCAAAATCACACCATCTTGTTCAGAGTTGTTTCCATGGCCCCTCTTCACTCGTATCAGCAGACTCTCAGCAGCAGCCTTAGTGTGCCCACAGGTTTTCAAAGGGCAAGTGTAAATAAAAGCCGATGTAGTATAACTGAAAAACTATTAGGCTTGGACCAATAAGACCTGAGTTCAAATCCCACTCAGCCCACAGTTGTTGTGAGGATAAAGTGAGAAGGAGGAAAGTCAAGTACACCATCCTAGCTTCACTGGAGGAAAGACAGGATATAAATATAATAACGTAACTTTTTTAAAAAGTCATTTGACAAATGAAATTGCCTTTTGGAGAATGGGTTAGTAAATGGAAGCAAAAAGTCAGGGTAACATCTGGTTGAGCATTAGATGTCCATATTTTTCATCTAGTTTCTAAAATGGAATAAGATGTATGTACGTGTGATCTCATTAAAGAGGCTTAAAAAAAGAGAGAGGGAGATTTTTCCTTAGTAAGATGCTGTATAAGCAATGCTACTTGGGCCTTAGGGTCTGTGAGTGAACTGAAGCTCATACACATCTCGTGTTCTGCCCCATGGATTAAATTGAAGCTGGGGAATTCTGCTTAACTCCCTTTCAGATTGGCATTATCAAAGCAGAATTCTGAGTTCCCTGTTCTGAGGCAGGATAAAGTTGGAATGAGCTGTGAACATTTTCCCCTTAAGGACTTCTACAGATAGGGTCTTCCTTTACACCAGAGGTAACTGTGCTCTGTCTCATTCACAAGATGTCCTCCTGACATCAGTGGAGAAACGACTGAGACTGAAGATTAATGACAAATATTAAGGAAACAATTTTTATATAAAAGCTTAGTGATGTAGGTAAGAATGGTGGGGCCCAAAATATACTGTATTTTTCGCACCATAAGACGCACTTTTTCCCCACAAAACGGGGGTGGAAAGTCTGCGTCTTATGGAGCGAAGAAAACAGATTATATTTTCCTGTTTTCTTCTCCTAAAAATTGGTGCGTCTTATGGAAAGGTGCGTCTTATGGAGCGAAAAAGGTATGTTGGAGCCTTTTACAAGACCCAGCTACAAGCAGATTTCTCCAAAATTAGTGATGCATCACAGAAAAGAACAGAAGCACAAACTACAGGTACGCAGGTCTCAATCCTTCAGATACAAAGGAATTTAAAAATAAAATTGAATATGACTAAGGAGCATGAAACACATCGGGAGAAAAAGATAAGCACTGAAGCTAAAATAAAGGAGGACATTTGTATTAAAACATGGTGCTGTGTTTAAAATATAGTTCATATCAGAGAATGTGCTATTCTCTTCTGAATACACTGAAGCAAGGAATTTCTTAAATACAATAATCTTTCTTTACAAGAAGCCAAGGACAGGAAAGTTGTGAATAGGCCTTTATCTGTTTACCATATTGAGTTGTAGCGACAGGGTAATTTCAAAATGAAACATAATTTACCTATAACTACATCGTGGCCATCAACCAGGCCTGCAGAGAACAGCTCTTGAGATACACCATCTGCTGTGTCTGTGCAAAATGTGAAATGAATATGCATTAGTCATGACAAAAATTGGAAAGAAAAAAAACAAAAGTCAGAAAGCCAGGGCAGTTTGCTTAAAAATATATATATTTAATCTATAAACACCTATTACTAAAAAAGTGTTGAATCCAAAGCTATTCTTGTTAGGAACACCACCTACACCATCACTGAGAATTCTAATTTTTCTACCTTGTCGTATCCCAGAGGGTTAATCATCTTGTTTTTCACATACCTTCCCTTTAGCTACTGCAAGTTCTCCTCTGCTATGTCATTAGCTGTCCTTGTTGAAATGAATACAGAATGAGTTGTATTCAACATACTGCAGATGGAGTTGCATTTCCTTAGAAGAAAAGGTTCCTGGCTTAGGGATTCTTCTAGATCCATTACTTTTATGGAGGCACAGACTCCGCAGGTGTGGAGTGGGTTCTACTAGCTTTGGGTCCCCAGCTGGACAGGAATGACATCTCTTTCGTGGCCTATGCCCTAGCAACCTCCAAGTTAATGTTACATGTTAGATCTGGAGCTGTCTTTTGAAGACGGTTCAGAAAATACAGCCAAAGTGCAGAATGCACCAGACAAACTACTCATGCAGACCAGGTGATGTAATCATGTAGCACCTCTCAGGAGCCACCTGCACTGGCTGGAGCCAGGTGCTAATAGGTCTTTAGACTCCAATACTTACTGGAATCTGCCCAAATCCTGATTTCATCATCTGAGGCCTTAGAAGAAGGACTTACTCCAAGAAAGACTCAGAGGATGATAAGGGACAGGATCTTCTCAGTTGTGCCTCCCTAGCCAATTCTGGAAACCTCTGTCCAGGAGGCCTCCCTGACCTTAACATTTCTGAGCACTAGAAGACCTTTCTCTGCTTCCCAGGTATTTCATGGGATAGTCACTTTCTAAATACTAATATTAAACCAACTGACTATCTCTGCAATTTACTTTGGGGTGATGCTTTGTGTTATACAGTATATCGTTTTAGAACTGTATATACTTTTTTGTAAAACGTCTAGAATCTTGTATTCATCATCAAGCACAAGGGGATCCATTAAAGAAAGAGAGGTTACTTACCTGTAACCATGGTTCTTTGAGTGGTCCTCTGTGAATCCACACAAATGGGTTAATCTGTACCTGTGCAGGACCTCTCGGAAATTTGTGGAGCTTAAAGAGATGATTAGTGGGATGTTCCCCTGTGGAGCGCATGCTCCATCCGCCTGAAGTCCCCTCAGTTCTCAAAAGGTCCACCGCTGTCAGAAAATAGATGGAGATGACAATGTGATGGACAGAGGGGAGGACGGGCGGGACGTGTGGATTCACAGAGGACCACTCGAAGAACCATGGTTACAGGTAAGTACCCCTCTTTCTTCTTCGTGGTCTCTGTGAATGCACACAAACGGGTGACTAGCAAGCTCACTTACCGGTTGGTGGGACGTCATGTTAAAAAGGAGGTAAGAACAGCTCTGCCGAAGCTAGCTTCATTGGCTCTGACGTCCAGCCGATAGTGAGTCACAAATGTTGAGGATGTAGACTAGGTAGCCGCTTGACAGATGTTAGAGATATCAATACTGCAAAGAAAGGCGGTAGAGGTAGAGACCGCCCTGGTGGAGCGGGCCATAACAGTTTCTGGTGGCGGTTTTCCCGCTAGTTCATAGGACAAGGTGATTGCTTGACACTATCCAGCTAGATAGAGTTTCTGCCGAAGCTGGAGACTTTCTGAAAGACTTTGTCCTGGAAACCTAGAAGGTGAGGGAGCGTCTGACATCTAGAGTATGGAGCACGTGCTCTAGATCTGATGTTGGAGATAGAACGGGTGATAACAGTTTCTGGTGGCGGTTTTCCCGCTAGTTCATAGGACAAGGTGATTGCTTGACACTATCCAGCTAGATAGAGTTTCTGCCGAAGCTGGAGACTTTCTGAAAGACTTTGTCCTGGAAACCTAGAAGGTGAGGGAGCGTCTGACATCTAGAGTATGGAGCACGTGCTCTAGATCTGATGTTGGAGATAGAAAGAGGGAAGGGAGGACATGAGGTTGGTTGAGGTGGAATTCTGACACAACCCTAGGTAGGAAAGAGACGTCTGGATATAGGGTAACCTTGTCAGGATAAAACTGGAGATATGGTGCGTAAGCTCTGAGAGCTGCTAACTCGCTAGCCCATCTGGCAGATGTGATGGCAACCAGAAACAGAAAGCGAGTGTCCTATACGGTGGGGCTGGCATTGGTGGTGACTTGGATCGTGACCTGGAGTGGAGCAAATGGATTGCCAATTGTGAGATGTGGGAGAAAGGTCCACCGGGTAAGTTGGTGAGCTAATTCTGGAGAAAACAAATGGATGGCCAATTGTGAGATGTGGGAGAAGGGTCCACCAGGTAAGTTGGTGAGCTAATTCTGGAGAAAATTGTCAACAGTTTGGAAGGGGGTGTGTGTCGATCATGGGGTCAAATAGAGAAAGGTACCAGGCTTGGAGAGATCTCATTTTGAGCCTGTCATGATGGATAACTAATGTAGTTGAGGCCATGAGGCTGAGTAAATGTGGCCAATTGTGAGATGTGGGAGAAGGGTCCACCAGGTAAGTTGGTGAGCTAATTCTGGAGAAAATTGTCAACAGTTTGGAAGGGGGTGTGTGTCGATCATGGGGTCAAATAGAGAAAGGTACCAGGCTTGGAGAGATCTCATTTTGAGCCTGTCATGATGGATAACTAATGTAGTTGAGGCCATGAGGCTGAGTAAATGTTGAGCCTGATGTGCTGAGACTGATGCAAGGGGACAAAAGGGCTTTATTGCAGATTTCAATTTGACTATCCTCTTGTGGGGAAGAGAGGCTGTGGTCATAGATAAGTCAAGGTGAGCCCTGATATAAACCATGGTTTGAGAGGGTTCTAGCTGACACTTGGTGAAGTTGACCTTGAGCCCGAGGTCTGCTAGTGTGGAAAGAGTGAAATGACTGTCTCTTTGAGTGCCCCGATAAGAGTTTGAGACAATTAGCCAATTGTCTATATAAGGAAAAACGGTTATGCCGTGTAGGCAGAGATGTGCTGCAACTGGTGCGAGACATTTCATGAAGGTCCACGGAGCAGTGGAGAGGCCAAAGAAAAAAGAACAGAACTGGCATGCAGTGCCCTTGAAGCAGAAGCGGAGGTACCTATAGTGATGTGGATGGATGGAAATGTGAAAATATGCATCTTGAAGGTCTATTAGCACAAACCAGTCTCCCTGGGAGAGGAGAGGGATGATGGTATCGAGAGTGACCGTCCTGAAGCATTTGGGGTGGATGTATGCGTTGAGATGTCTGAGATTGAGGATGGGACAGAGGCCTCTGTCTTGCTTTGGAACTGTGAAGTATCGGGAATAGAAACCAGTGTGAAGATGTCAACCTCGAGGAAGATTTAGGCTGCTCCTTTGGCTTGGGAGATGGTGTGGTCAGGCTCAACACGGGCCAATTCCTGTCTAGGGACAGGAGTCAAGGTAGAATGGAAGCGGTGGGTGGTTTAAGGGATTCCTCCCACAGGAATGAGCGGAGACTTTGGAGACGGAGCTTGAGGGCAGGTTTGGTGAGTCTTTTACACTCCGGGCAGGATTGGGTTTGGTGCTGCTCCCCCAAACAAAAGAGGCAGCGGTCATGGCCGTCTGAAAACAGGATCTTATTTGCGCACAATATGCACCGCTTAAATGGGCTGGGGGGGGGATAAAAAAGAACAGGAATGGAGGGAAGAGAAGGGGGAGTAAAAAGAACGGGGAGAAAAATTAAAATCGAAGAGGATTTATGGGGAAATGTCCACAAATAGAATGAAGAAGCCTAAAAAGGCACAAAGAGAGAATATTGATTGCAATCTAAAAGTTGTTGTTCTAGTTGTTGAGACAGGCCTGACCTAAGCGGTGGATAAAAGGAACTGAGGGGACTTCAGGCATGTACTCCCACAGGGGAACGTCCCACTAATCACATGTCTTTAAGCTCTAGAAAGTTTCGAGAGATCCTGCGCAGGTGCAGATTAACCCATTCGTGTGCGTTCACAGAGAACACGAAGAAGAAACAAGATACCTGCAATAAGGTACTTCCCATTCTCTCGCTTTCAGAGGCTTTGATTCATAAGGAACATGCACAGCTAAGCTTATGAACTACTTGGGAAACATACTCCTGGATTCATTCTTATGGGGAGCCAGGACCCATGGGTTCAGACTTCCGATCAGGAAGGACAGCATCTACCACTTACCTCTGCCAGCTCAGTATTCTATGAATGTCAGCTGATCTTAATAAACTGTATTTTACTATGTATTAACCCTTTGTGTTATAGCTGTGTGTTTCTGCATACATGCATGTAAGTGTGTACGCATCATATACACCAAGGTGGGCAAAATCCAGTACAGATTTTGTGGGGTTGTATCTTCTTATCAGCACTAGCCAGGAAAGACAAAGATGAGGAATGCTGTAAGTTACAGTCCAACTTCTAGAAGGCTGCAGTTTGTCCACCTGACATAATGCATCCAGACAAATATGAATCAACACAACTGGCTGCATTTGCGGTCTGTTCTTGAGCATACGAGGACTGTCGTGATGAACACTGCAACATTTATGACCACAGCACTGCTTCTGCTGGGTCTTCATAAAATGTTTTATCATGTTTGCAACAGAAGGGCTGCACACAAGCAAATAAACATCATCTGGAAAGAGAGGACATGATTCTGCCTACAGGCACTGATTAGTGTACATTTCTGAATTCTAAGTGGTTTTGCTCCCCTATGTTATCTTTCAAAAGCGGAGATATCTTAACCATCTAATCTGAGAGTAACACTAATATGGCAAGACTTAATGCAGTCATAATCGTAATACTGGAAGCTATATATCTGTGCAGAGGAGAACAGCATACACAGCTAGATCTTCGACAATTGTCACCCCAGAAGTTCTAACGGCCATGCATATACAGTGGTGCCTCGCTTAGCGAGGTTAATCCGTTCCGGATTAACCCTCGCTCAGCGAATCCATCGTTAAGTGAAACAAAAAAGCCCATAGGAACGTATTAAAACTGATTTAATACGTTCCTATGGAGTTAAAACTCACCATTCTGCGAGTTTCCTCCATTGCGGCGGCCATACCCTTATAAAGTCACTTTGTTTAAAAGAAAGCCCAACTGAACACAGTGGTGCCCTGGTTTACGAAGTTAATCCGTTCCAGCGAAATCACTGTAGCGAGAAATCGCCGTCAAGCGAAAGTAAAAAGCCCATTCGAATGGATTAGAAACCGGTTAATGCATTCTAATGGGCGAAATACCTCATCATAAAACAAAGATCCTCCATAGGGCAGCCATTTTCTGCTCCCTGTAGAGCGAAGAATCCGTCCCTAACACAGCGGGGAGCCATTTTGAACAGCAGGTGGCCATTTTGGAAACCCGACAATCAGCTGTTTTGATCGTCAAAAAGCGAAAAATTGGTTCCTGAAGCAGGGAACTGATCATCGTAAAGCGTTTTTTTGCTATCTAAACATAATTTTGCAATCAAAAAAGCGATTGCAAAAACCTAACTGTTAAGCGGATGCGTCATGGAGCGGGGTAATCGTTAAGCGGGGCACCACTGTACATGGTTCTCCCCGATGCATGCAGTTTTCAGTTGGAAAGCAATGGTTAAAGACTTAATTGTAAGATCTTTACATTTATACTATATGAGAGGCATCTTTCATGATTTATGGCTTCTGGAAATGTACACTCTTCAGGCTAGCTCTACACTTCATGTAGCAAACTGATAGTTCATTTTACAAACTCAGAGGCCTAGATAAATCATTAGGCCCAACCAGCACAGCATCACTGAATCAGTAGAAATCTGTTAAGTCATCAGTCGTGTATCTTTAATCTAGTCAGTTTTCTTCCTGCAGGAAGTAACAACCCGACTTAGGCCAAGATGTTCCAGAGTTTACACAGCAACCCAAGTGTGTCTGCAGCAACTGCTGTTTGGCCCTAAAAGACAACTATGAGGTTCACAGAACAATCACATTTCTTCAGAGTTTGGAAATAACTAGATAAAAAGAAATAGTTACTTAAAACTGATTCTTATGACCAACAATGAAGGCACAGATTGCACTATGATTGTCCATTATGAGGGCAAACTGCTTTTGCAATGCAATGATATAATTATGGTCACCTCGACTCACGAAATGGTGGATGAGGAATGTTACATGGATCAAGTGCTGGCTCATGCTGAGCCCCATGTTCTGTGATAGGTGTTCTGTTAACAAAATGGCAACAATGTCCCCCTCCCCCATAGGCCCTAGGGGCACAGTGAGACCTTCTGGGTTTTGTTTTTAAAAACATTTCAATTTTTCATTTTTCTATTTTCTATTCTAAGATTTTATGGACAGTGCAAGAGGTCCCCAGAATGCTGCTAGGCTACATCTGAGGCCATGGCTCATGGTTCACTGTTGCCCATCCCAGTTCTAACCTAAGGATGGGAAATTTCAGCCACCCCACCAATACACCATAGGCTGAATCCCAACTGAAGATGGCCCCTCTACCCCACCCTGGTACTAGAAGCAACTGGAACTTTTTTTTTCTTGAGTTTGGAAAACAACAACAGAAAAGCAAGTTCATCTCCTGTACTGTCAGGCCCTGCACTTACCTTTAGAGGGGCTCTGCCCCTTCTATAGGCTTCCAGGAGCAGCAATTCTCCTCATGAAGCAAAAACCTTGGGGTGGGGTTGGGGGAAGAGCCAAAAAAAGGGGGGCAGGGGACGCATGCAAGAATTGTAGGCAACATGTTCTCCACCCTCAGCTCTAACATATCAGGCAGCATAGAATATCAGTCATCTGCTTTATAACTAAAATAAGAGGGTTGTCATATTATAATATCTGGCTGTGGAGCGAGAGGCTGGGAGTTTAGTTCTCCCCTGTGCTTCTTGTGAGAAGAGAAAGTCTACAGAGCCACAGGCAACCTGCACGGGCCTTCCCTAGTCTAGACAATTCCTGATGTCCTCTTCTCTCTCTTTCCTACCATTAGCTCCCTTCTTGTTTAATGTTTCTATCATGTAAAAAATGTTTATATATATATTTATTGTCTTGTTTTATGTTGTTAGCCGCCTAGAGTGGTCTTAACCGACCAGATAGGCGGGATATTAAATAAATAAATAAATAAATAAATAATACTAATAATTATAATTATAAGGGTAAATCTGAAGTCTAAAATTACCTAGCCATACCACTGCTAGAAACAAACACAATAAAATGCATAAATCCATTTCTGGACAGAATGCAAAGTGGTTGTTTAAACCTATAAAACACTGAATGGCTGGGGTCCGAGCTATCTCAAAGACTGCCTCTCCCTCTATGAGCCTACTCGGGCATTAAGATCATCAGGGGAGGCCTTTCTCTCAGTCCTGCCAGCCTCACAGGTGCGCTTGGTGGGGACACAAGAGAAGACCTTCTCTGTGGCTGCTCTCAGACTGTGGAACTTTCCCTCCAACGGGAGACCAGGCTGGCCCCATCTCTGCTGTCCTTCTGCAAGCAGGTGAAAATCTTCCTGTTCAGGCCGGCTTTTCCTTAGCGACTGGCTGTCTAGGAGAGGTCTAAATTTTGTTGTGTCTAAATCTGCTTTCAGTAAACATTTTTAATATAATGTTATTAATTCTCTTTGAGCATTTGAACAATTTACTGCTTTTAGCTTTTAAGAGTGTGTTTTTAATCCTGCAAACCACCTTGGGAAGCTTTTTATAAGGAGAAAGGTGGGGTAAAACAAACAAACAAACAAAAGTAGCTCGGTCTCCCCAAGGTAATGATTTTACCACACGGTCTAAGGCTGGGGTGGTGAACCTTTGGTACACCAGATGTTTTCTCAGTCTCCCCAAGGTAATGATTTTACCACACGGTCTAAGGCTGGGGTGGTGAACCTTTGGTACACCAGATGTTTTGGTCTTCAACTCTCAATATCCCCTGCCTGCATTGCCAGTGATAAAGGACTGTGTAAAGTGTCCCCAGCTGTGACTTGTGAGTAGTAGAAGTGCTAAAACACCACGGATTCTGCCAGAAAGCACTAGGGTGAGGAACTAGAGGCCTCTTCCTAAAATCATCACTACCGAGGCTTCCATATATTTTATATTTTGCCTGAAGTTGTAATTTATATGTAGCTGCCACTTACTGACATGCTGTAAGAACTCAAATGTTATGCAGCTCTCAGGATAGCTTTCAGGACTGCTTTGGTCTGCATTTCATTAGGTTAAGAATAAGGGAGAGTAGCAGAGTGCTTCCCACCTATATAGAATCCTTCTCATTGAATTAAATATCGCACCACTATGCCACTTAAAATTTACATGCTTGGCACAAGTCTTGTTTCAGATAAGTAGTGTAATATAAAACATTCGGTTGGTACAAGCAATTTCATAGTGCTAAGTTATATTAAAACGATAAAACAGAAATCCTTTTCTAAAATACCATTCGGAACCATAAAAAGCATAATTTCAATTAACAGTCTTACCTCTGCCTGGAGTAAATTCAAACCGTATGTCATTAAGCTCTTTTCTGGAATTCCTGGAGGAAGAAGGGAGGTAAAAAGAGCCACGGTAAACATATCAAAATGTAACGAAGTGTGCCTTGTGCACTCTAAATGTATTCAAGCTTCATAAATAAGATGCTCTTAACACACAGGCTCTATTTTATAGTTTTATCCCTTGTCTATTCCCAAGTGCATTACAAGTGCATGAGGGGTCAATGCAAGGGAAAAACCCTGCGGAAGAAAAGTTTAACCATATGATGCCTTAAAAATAAATCTAGAATGTTTACATTTATTTATGAGGGAAAGCGAATCTAATTAAGAGAAACAGAGAGAAAAGTTTCATTTTGTACCATGAAAAGCATCCATACAAACCACATATTCTGATCTATTCTTATATTCTCAAATTATTCCCTCCTGACAATGAGTTGCTGGCTAAGATTACAGCCAGAAGCCTTTCTAATCTTCTACAAATCGTCTTTGCCTGGATTGAGTTTCCTTCTCACAGTCTAATCTTCTTCCTCAGGCTGGCACTTTTGGTTGTGTACTGATTTCAAAACAGGGTTGGCCAAAGGGTGGCCCTGCAGCCGTGGCCAGTGTTCTGAGTGGTGAAGAAGGATGAGAGTTGTATCCTCACAACATCCGGAGGGTGACACTTTGCCCTGTCCCCCCAAACTCTGCCACTGAACTAGCAGAGGCCAGCTATCCTGAGGGACAGGATCCAGAATACTTCATCCATTCTTTCAAGCGTGGCTTTGAGTTTTTCTTTCCTTCCCCCCCCCCTCCCCAAATATCATCAGTGCAATGAAGAAGGATAAATGGCTCGCAAAAGATAAATGTCACATCAGGGGACCATATTCAAGTTTATTCTTATGAAAGCTTCAGAACTTTCAAGTCACTTCATACAACAGTCCCAGAAATCAGGGAAAAAGCCTTACTTATGGGGGGTGGGGTAGGGGAAGAAAGCAGTTTGCCAGGAAAAACACAGCAACAACAGAGTGACACTGGGTTTGAGTTGTTCTCAACAGCATCCTCTTTCATGGGGGCCCTTCACATCTCACAGGAAGAGATAAAATCGTGCTCTTGAGGATGTATTCCTTTGTGAAGAGAGCATGCCTCCCCACCTCTCCTCACTCTAACATGGAAGGTGTATGGTGCACAGAGATACAAACACATGATCCCTCTTTCCCTCTCCTCAAGTCCTAGTTCCATCCTTGTGGTTTATTTATTTATTTAAAGTATGTTTTACCCCACCTTTCTCCTTAAAAAAGGACACAAGGTGATTTACATCATTAAAAGACCATATTTAAAGCTAAAAATAGGAAGTATATAAATATTTAAAAAGGATCAAACAAATACCACTCTAAGAAAAGGGAACCAAAAGCAGCATCAAAAAAATATTCAAAGCAGTAAGGCTTAAAAAACCCCACTCTAGTCATTGAAAGAAAGCTTGCCTGAAGGCAAAGGTCTTTGCCTGCTGGCGGAAAGACAGCAAAGATGGGGCCAGTCTGGCCTCTTGTGGGAGAGAGTTTCAGAGTCTGGGAGCAGCAACAGAGAAGGTCCTCTCGTGAATGTCCACCAAACACACCTTTGAAAGTGGTGGGACTGAGAGGAAGGCCTCTCTAGATGGTCTTAACAACTGAGCAGGCTTATAACAGGTGACATGGTCCTTGATATAGCTCAGGATCAAGCCGTTGACGGCTTTATAGAGGAAAGAGGCTATTAAGGCTCTTGCTGGTACAAGATCAACCCATGAAAAAAGGTGCATTGTATAAAAAGGACAGAATCATACTGACAATCCCTCCTGTGATATGATCGCAGGTGGACAGCTTCACTGATAACCCCTCTCTGTTCAATTTTGTAATCTGTTTTTATCGTTTTTGCCTAGTCCAATATCAGTTCAATGAGTTTTCCATACATCATAAATCTTTGCTCCAGGACATGGTGAGATATGGGGCTGGGAGAGAGAGGGAGAAATAGTGTGAGGGCACCTTCTCATGTTTTTGGAAACATACAACCATAATTGCCCTACCTATTTTTTCCCTTAGCAAATAGCTCAATCTGCTTGAAAAGCTAATAGCACTGAAATGTGTTTTGAGGTCCATTATTCTTTTATTCCTCAGCATGTAAGCAGACTCATATTTCAGTGTACCAGGCCATGAAGGCTTGCTGTGGGAAAACTAAATCCAACATCTAGGCACAATCAGCCATGACTGAGAACTATTATCATTTGCTAAACACATATTAAGAAAATGTCACACAGCCTCAAGAACAGGTTCACGCTAGACCAAAAAATAATAAGAAAAGGATTGACAAGGCAACAGATACCACTGCTAAAAAAATGAACAGAACGAAAGATGTATCCAGCTGCTAAGTATAGCAGGGGCAATTCAAAAGGTGAATTGATTTTTCTGTTACATTCCTTATTTTGATCAAATGGATATTACCCTGTTTCCTTGAAAGTAAGACCTAACCTAAAATTAAGTCCTAGTATGATTTTTTTCGGGATGCTCGTAATATAAGCCCTGCCCCAAAAATAAGCCCCAGTTAAGTGAAACCCCGCCCTCCACCATTGTGCAGCAACAACAAGAACATGACATGACTGTATTTGAATAAATGTAGATTGCTGTACATGAAAAAAAAATAAAACATCTCCTGAAAAATAAGCCCTAATGTGGTTTTTGGAGTAAAAAGTAATATAAGACCCTGTCTTATTTTCGGGAAAACACAGTATGTAGCACAACAAAACCATCAAGCAAAAATTTTCCCATTATTAAGCATGCACTGGTAAAGTTCATTTGCTTTCTTTAGCAGTTTAAGGCAATAAACAGAATGTATTTACATCCCAGCACAGAAACACCCAACTCAAACTGGGAGTTTCTTTCATACTGAAAGACGGAGAACAGCAACTTTCAATTGTTTGTTGCTCCTCTTCAAGGACAACGAGTGACTTCAGATCATGTCTGTGTAAGAATGAGGCCAGGAGAAGGGGTAGCAGGTGAAGCTACTGCTCCTACTACCTTTTTCCGGGCAAAATGGGATAATGCTTCCTCTCACCTTAGCAGCCAGGTAAGGAGGTGAGGGGAAGAAGGCAGCTAAATACACCATATAAACATCTGCTCTTGGAGAAAAGGAAAACTGTCACTATGACGGATTAGATCAGGCCAGTTGTGGTAGAAGCTCAGATGATCCTTCTATTCTCACTTTAAGACCAAGTCCTTTAAAGCAGTGGCTCCCCACCTTTGATCCTCCAGATGTTTTGGGCTTACCCCTAGAGTACCAAACCAGCATGGACAATGATCAAAGAGTCTGAGAAACTATTTGGAAGGCCAAAGTCTAAAAACCAGTGCTCCACCAAAATATATAAAGAAGCTACTGTTAGCTGAGCCCCAGTAAACAAAAATAAACAAGCTTAACTAACATGTTTATCTGGTGCCCATCAGCATTTTGCTCTCCAGCTGTTTAGATTTCAATGCTTAGAATCCCAGACTGTTGATTACAGTCTTGTTGTATACTGGCTGGGGCTTCTGGCAATGAAAGCCCAAAACATCTGGATTAAGAAGGATCAGAGAGGCATAAATTTCTAAATGCAAACTGAGGACTTTTGGACTGAAAAGCTATGAATATTTTAATAAAGTCAAAAGGCAGAACCTTCATCCTCTTCCCCTCACCAATAATCCAGTAAGTATTGACTCAACCAAAAGCATTCCTCCGCTCCACCCACATTTTGGCTAGCTGACATTTTATGGGCACAGTCATCAATTCACACACACCCTCAACTCCTTGAACTACTAATGACCAAGACTCAAAGGTCTTGAAGGAAGAGGCAGGGTCAATTTTCCCTCTAAGCCGTGCACTATTGCATTGGGGGCATGTAGCCGATACAGTATTGCCCATCACTATGTTGCTGGAAACCTGTGAGCATGAGGTGGAGGCTTTGCCCAGCACTGGAAAATTAGAGGGAATGTTGGGCATGGCACTACATTACAACGAACACACACACACACACACACACACACACACACACACACACACACACACAGAGAGATTATATATACATATGATATATGCATCATTTTAAACATATATATGTTATGTTAAAAATGATGCATATATCATATGTATATATAATCTCAGCATATATAATCTTAGAAGAGGGGATGTACATCACTCTCCAAAGCATGGAAGACCTAGGAAAGAATTTGCTCTCTGATGCTTACACAGTTGTATTATGCATATATATATATGTTTAAAAGAATTTAAGCCAATCAACTGATTAAAGGAGCCCTCAGTTAGTCAATCAGAATCCTGCTGTTGATTTATACATGCATAAATTAAATCATGCTAACTAATGAAACACTGGTTGCATCACCTGATGTGCAGTCGGGTGTGCACTTTGCAATGTGAATAGTGTCTCACTAGATAGCAGGAATTTGCCATGGTGAGTTATATAATTTAATTTACACAACTGTAAATCACCAAAAAGGAATATGTGCAATCTGTCTTCCCTAATTTAATATATTCATACGTGCAGAACTACAACACTCATCATTCCCAGATACCATGCTTTTGCTATTTGCCTATCATCCCCAAACACATAAGGAAACTTGGGAAAGGCTTATTGTGATGGACAACTATCTGTTGCACTTCCAACTACCACTGACATATAATTATTATGTTTACTGTATGTGTCAACTATATAAGCAAAAGGAGCTTCTTAAATAATCTTTCTAAATGGAAGGTAAAATTTGCATTTTAAAATCTTTCCACTTATCTTTAGATTTTTCATTCTCGCCACCTCATTAAGAGAATATCTTTTCCACTCACTTTCAATTAAAAGTGATTGAGGAATTCTCAGAAAAGTGCAATTAAATCAGCAATTATTCTCAAAATCTGTTTGCAGCTACTTTAGAATTTTCTCTTGGGCATTTTGAGTGCTGTCCTTATGCATATCTTATAAACTTCATCCTACAAAACAGGTCTTCTGCTTAAAAGGAAGGAATGAAGAAAAGGAATGTACATCACTTTAAAATCAATG